GTATTCAGAAATAGGGACAGCCCAGGCAAAGTTATAACATATGGGATGTTTTCCTCTGAGTCCATGACTTTGCTCTCAGCATTCTTCCTGGTAATGTGTGCCTGGAGCACACACATGTGTGTGCATGCACACACACACACACACACACACTAGTGTCCTGGAGGAAAGGGATTTCTTTCAAATAATACCACATGTGTTGCTGCTGTGCAGCCGGGTCTCGGGATCACCCTAAGGCTGGCTGGTTAGAGCTAGGCAGCCTGGGTTTGAACCCCGCATCTACCTGTATGCCCTCAGACACGTCACTTAGCCTCTTAGAGCCTCTGCTCTCCACGTGCAAAAGAAGTGTATGATATCTATGTTGCAGGGCTGGCAGTAAGAAAATAACTATAAAATGCTCACAGAGGTAGGAGCTGGGGAGACAGTACCCATTACTATGATTTAGAAGGAGGGTCCATGTTATTGCTCAGGTCCTTAGGAAAATTCCTCGGTCACATACCCCACTCCCAGCTGTAGAAGCAAAGCGACCACAGTGAGAACGCAGGAAGCAGTGGGTTCTCAGTGTCCTAATTCTCTCTTTTGTACACTTATCTATATGAACAAACCACCAATGGCTATCTCTCCCATTTGTCACAAACCAGCCTTCGCTCAGAGACTGCCGTGCAGTGAACAGATATTTGTCACTTTTGCCGTCACGTTCCAACCATCCGCTTCCTATTACCACTCCAGTCTGCATTTTGGGGATGCCACACTGTGCGTAGCTTTGGCAAGTAGGGGCTGCAGTCAAATGGCTGGATCTGACCTTTCCCTGGGGACAAGCACGTGACCTAGATGCAGTTCAGCCCTCTCTCCCTTCTCTCCAGGATTCTGTATTTCACATAAGTGATGCCCCAACGTGGGGACAATGGAGGCCACATCTGTGACAGTGGTGGCTGTATTATGTGGCCCACACTGCCCTTGTTTCTATTACTGTTACTCTGAATAACGTTCTTACTGGTCCTGGCTGCCTGGGCTTCAGAACCCCTCTCTCGCTGCTCAACTTTAAGCCTGGTCAGCCCCCAATATTGTTACAAAAGGTTGCTTTTCAGTTCAACAGAACCCAATTTTGTTTCTCTCTCTTGCAACAGGAATACTTGCAAACAGGATATAGCCAGATTCTGAGAGGAAAATAAGGAAAGGAGGCTCATCTCACTTAAGAAGAATTCCCTCCTTCTGTGGTCAACATCCAGGGCTTGGGAGAAAGGTGAAATCTTAAAACACGTCACTGAGTGGGTCATGATGGCTGAGTTGAAGTCATGCAGCATCACATTAGAGAGGATTTAGGGACAGAATGCCTTCAGTTTTCAAATTTATCATCAAAAGGTACAGGAGGATGGAGGGGTGGAAGAGGGGTAGCAAATATCAACTCACACAATTATCAACTCAGACACAAACTCTTTGCATGCTTTTAGGAGAACTTGAAACAATTTCTTTTTTTAGGATGGGGAAAAGTAAGTGCTCTCTTTGCCCTTTCTCTCTTCGTTATCCATTGTCTCAGCATTGCTCCTTGGCCCTGAGAAAGCTGCCACAAAGCATTTTACTAGTTATCTGATTGTCATGCTACTTAACATGTTCCGTGGTCCGCTGGCTGATGGTAGTTTAAGCAGGATCTAATTGGTAACATATTGTCGATTGAATTAAGTGCCATATGATAGAGATTTAAACCATGGTAATTTTTCCATAAAGAAAAATCTGTCAACAGGCTACAGCGGAGGAACAGCAATAAATCAAATTGTCATGTTTATTCGTTATTGCAGGAGTCTCGTCTTGTTTTCATTATAACCCCCCATTTTTAGCACCAATAAAAGCTATAAAGAGGAATATTTGTGCAAGGGCCTTTTTAATAGGTTTATATTTGTAGACAAATACCTGCTTGCATTTTAATCCTGAGAAAAATGGTGCTACTTCACTTTAAAAGCAACATGTATTTTGGTTATTTTCTGGATGAGGGATAGCATCTTTAGTTTTTTTGCAAAGCTGTGTTTTAAAACATTCGGAATCAACACACTTGTGATCCAAGAAAAGCCAACAAAAACAAAAATGAAAGTGCCATTTGCTTATCAGATTTGCAGAAATTAGAAGAACTCACAGAATGATTGCAGTCCAAAATCTGTAGAACAGTCAATGCAGTCTGATTTATAATATCAAAAACAGCAGAAATAAATAATTTTCCATATATGGGAATAAGTAAACAAATTATGGAATATCAGTACCAGAGAATGCAAAGTAGCCATTTGAAAGAAGAACTTAAATCATACTAATGACGTCATTAAGAACCACCATCATTTGCATTTTTCCTTTCCTTTCTTTTTTTTTGTGAGGAAGATTGGCCCTGAGCTAACATCTGTACCAGTCTTCCTCTATTTTGTTTATGGGACACTGCCAGAGTGTGGTTTGGTGAGTGGTGTGTAGGTCCATGCCCAGGAACCCAACCCGGGAACCCAACTCGGGAACCCCAGGCTGCTGAAGCTGAGTGCGTGAACTCAATCACCACACCACCGGGCCAGACCCCCTTTTCTTTTAAATTGCCTTCACTGAAAGTCACTTTGAACATTTTTTTCTTACATGAATCAGAAATAATATAATATCATTTTACGTATGTACCCTCACTGGAATCTCCTAAAACCCTATGAATGATGTAGGACAGGTTATTATGCCCCCATTACAGATAAAGAAACTGAAGCATGGAAGATAAAGTGATTTATTGAAGGAGTCCCATAGCTGTCAACCTCTGGAGGCAGGATGCAAGCCCCAGCGTTCTTCCTCTGAACTGTTATGTAAAATAAAGGGTCTACAAATTGGAGACCAGTACCCAGCTGCTCACCATAACTTTGACTCTCAGTGTGACCTTGAACTTGTTTCTTCATTCTCTTGGACACGGCTTCCTCATCAGTCACATTTCATTACCACTTGATTTGGATTGTAAAGGCAATGAGTGGGGGCTAGATCCCAACTCTGCCATCTCCTAACTCTGCACTCTTAGGCCAGCTATCAGCTGTCTTCTAAAATAGACACAATTGCAAGGAATTTGATGCAATAATCTGATGGAAGACATGTAACATGTGAGCACAAGCTTCACACGTGAGAGGCACTGAACATACACCATTTACTATCATTTGGACGCCACGGTTACATGTATCTACTTTCCGGGTTGCTGTGCACATGGACATGCAAGATGTGTACAAGCTCACGTAACCGAGTCCACTGAGCTCAGCCTGCTCCTCTCGTGAGCGGGACTCGTGGGGAGAGGCTCCTGTGCTCCTTTGCCAGCCTCCTGCTCCCCACACCTCTGCAGGGTGAGGACTGCACGTGGTGGTGCCATGGCTCCCACCTCTTATGTGTCTCCTTCTGTGCTCACTTACATACACCTCTTCCCACCTTCAATCTTTCCTACCCTCTTACCATTTCCCTTCAAGCCTGACAGCTAATTGCCGAAAAGCTGGTGATAATGATAACAATAATAATAAAGGCCACTAACACTTACTGAGCCTTCTCAATGTGCCAGGCACTCCTCTAAGCACTTTGCACGTATGAGCCCATCTAATCCTTAGTGAAGAGGCAGACACTATTATTGTACTACTTTACAGATACCACAACCCTGATGCTGAGAGGTGGAGTGACTTGCCCAAAGTCACAGGAAGTGTTAGAGTTGGAAATTGAATCCAGAAGTCTAGCGAATGAGCAATGTATATTTTTCCCCATCTTCTAATGCAAAATAAATAATGCAAAATAAATAAAAATATGCATGACACAACCAAACACCAAATGCAGGTGATGCCCAGAGCAAGGTAACCGCCGTCGACAGAAACACAACCAAAACCGTAGAACGCCTTGTGCTCCTCTTACTTTCACTGTGCTCGTCTCACCCCAGCAGCGAGACGGGAAACCTTGACAGCCCTCAGGAAAGGAAGGTACTCTTCTTCAATTTTGCTCCAAGGGCCAAATGCTTTTGGCAAAAGCAGAGACCATAATTTTTTAAAAACCTGATTATTTAGCGTATACACTCAAGACTCAAAGGCCGAGTTTTCTGCCACTTCTTTGCTGACATGGGTATCAGTTAACATTTGGCCTTTAGCGATTCGTGTTGCAATATCAGGTCCTAGACTACCTGATGGTCCCCGTCTCGTGGAATTTTCACCCCTTTGAATAAAAGCGGTTATGAAATGCATATCTAAACATGATTTCCCTTTTATATTTGTAAGACTTGAATAGCAAAGAATTCACATATTAGGAAAAAAGTCCTTTGTCACACCATTAGTTCTCTGGTTTCAAAAATATTGTCACTATTGCTATTTTGTACTATATGATATGTATGTTTACATGTATATATGTATGTGTGCATGTTTGTGTATACATGTAATGTGCCATGTATATGTGCATGATGTATGTGCACATGTGCATATGTACACACACATGCATACATAACATGTTGTTCAAGGAATACGAATAGGCTTGTCAGCCCCTGATGGTGAGGAGGTCATGCGTTCTGAGTTATTTCTGCAGGAGCAGTGGCGTCCTGCACCCAGGCCTCTGTGAGCTCGCTCCCCCGGGCCATGCACTGGGGCCCCATCTGCAACTATATCATGGGTTCTTTGTTTGAGGTGCAGCTAACGGCCTAAATGAGACTCAGAAACACTTTCCATAAGGCCCATAGGCCCAGTTACTGACGTAAATGTGTGTGAACACGTTCACACCTAGGTTGTGTATTCTTTGCATGCTACACCCACATGAATTCTGGGACCTATTTTGACCACGTTCCAAGTCAGCCTCCTCAATCTGTCCAGCTGCTCACCTGAGGCTGAATTATCTCTATGGGGCAGATTGGGAGGGCTCCCTGCCGCCCAGCCCTGAGGAGCATGAGCTGGGCTTCCCCAAGTCCCTCCCTGAAGGGTACAAAGTAAGGGTCACTTCTTTTTTAGCTAGGGCAGCCCAGAGGACCCAGGCCCCGTCTGGCTTGATCTTACCTCTCAGCTCACACGCTCGCTCCTCTTCTTTCTCTCTCAAGTAATTCGTTCAGCTTCTTTCTTCTGAGGCTGAGTGTATGGCTGTCTTCTCACTGGCAAGCTTTCTGAATGGCACTTTCTGTATAAACAGGAAGAGCGTGTGTGGTCGCGACTGAAGTGTGCAGGTGTTGATAGAGGATGTGAAAGTGTGGAGGCGAGGGGACTAAACCAGCCAACGACGTTTCCCCACCAGACACCCAACCGGCCTCCTCCCACCCACCGCAGGGCAAGTTCTACCAGAAGGCTGGAGGCAGGAGCCTGGGCCCCACTCCGGGGACCACCTGACACAAACCAGAAGAATGCGGTCGTGGAGGCCGACGGGAGAAGTTCTTTATTGCTCTACCTCTGCCTAACTCTATGCAGACTCCTTAAAAGAATCCCAGGAGCGTTTTGAAACTCCTTAAATATATTCTTGTCATTGGGTATGCTGACTTAGATGGGCTACTTAACTTGCCTGAAACTCTGCTGATTCCTTCCAACTATCTAGATATCCCAGAGACCAGAACCAAAAGCCTGATCCTGCCTCCAGACCGTAATAGGTCTTCTAGAACTTTCTAGGACAGAGATGCACTGGGAGAGGAGAAAGAGCACCAGATCAAGGAATCAGATAACCAGGGACCTTACCAATGGACACTTTTTCAGGTCCTGTCTTATTTGTCCCCCTCTAGTGTTTGACACCAGTGAGCACTTCTTTCCTTCCGGAACTTCCCCTGGGCCCCCAAGACTCCACATTCTCCTGGTTTTGGTCAGGTGATTTCACTCATGGTCAGGCTTCCATTCCTCCGCCAACATCTAAATTTTTGTCCTTCTCCAGGGCTCCGTTCTCAGTCTAGTGGTTCCTGTTCTCCATGGATGGCCTCTCCCGCTCTCTACATGCTGCTTCCCAAGCCCGTATCCACATATTCACTAGTCTCTGCTGATCTTCCAGGACATCCTCCAGGCACTCAGGACCGACTGGTCAAAATAAAACGCTGGTCTTTGACTCCCTGCCACATCGCTTCCATGTGGCCTGTGAAATCCTTCCTGCCTTGTTCCTAAATTCCTCCTCTTGCTTTGCCCTTGGCTAATATGGCTTCTTCAAGTTTGACCCTCAGTTGTCCTCGTCCAAACAAGGCCATCCTTCGGTATCCTCAGGCTGGATTCACTTCCAGACATGTCTAGAAACTATCCCACCCAATCCTATGCCAATCACTGGGAATTATCCAAGTATTGGCCGCATCAGGCCCCAGCAAGGGGAAAAGCTTTCTTTCTCTTACATCTAAACCAGAAATGGGGAGTCTTCCTGCCTTCTTCTCCTTCCCCCATACACCTCGACCTTTAATCATCAAGCCTTGTCAATCCTACCTCTTAAACCACGCCTCGCATCCCTTCTGTTTTCTCCTTTCCCACAGCCAGGCCCTTACTCGAGGCCTGTCATCACTGCCCTAGTCTCTAAATGGGCATGTGCACCCAAGGCCTGCAAGAAAATTCCCTGAGGTGTGGGAAGAAAAGGCTTGAATATCTACTCATGCTTACCTGTTTATTCATTTTTATTGAAGTAATATTCACAGAACATAAAATTAACCATTAACTGTTCTGAAATGCACAATGCAGTGGCACTGAATATATTCACAGTATCGCGCAAGCACCTCCTCCATCCAGTCCCAAGACTCACATTTACTTTTATGTCATATTTTTAGTGTTTACTTTTTGTGTACATTTTAAGGCATGTGAAGTATGAATACAGTTATCCTGTGATGCTTTGTGAATAGTCACACCTCTACTGGGAACATGTTGTGAAGACTTCCTAACCGAGGAGGGTGCACGATCAGAAATGTGGACACGTGGTCTCCAAACTTATCTCCCAGGTGACAGCCTCAAGAGTGTTTTTCAAACCGCCTTCAAATTTTCTTTGCAATAGACTGCAAAAATGATAACATTACCCTCCCCTCACCCCGTTCCCAGTCCTTAAACCCTTCAATGGCTCCTCTTCACCTACAGGAAAATCCCAAAATTCCATCGCTGAGTGGACAAGGTGCTTGATGCAGTAGCCTCTGCCCTCTCCAACGCCATCTCTTGTCATGCTCTCTACCTACTTCCCTCCACACCGCCCAACAACACACTCCTGGTGAACATCCAGGCCACCATAGGTCACGCTGTCTTTTCCCATGCTGTTTCCTTTTTGGGGGATGCCTTTACTTCCATTGGCTGTCTGGCAAGTCCCCATGGATGCTAAAAACCCTTCCTCATTACTCCTCTCTGAGGCAGGATTCATAATGCCTGCGGGCTGCCACTGAAGCCATTTGCCTCCATGTTGGATGGTACCATGGGTGATTTGGTGGTTAAGAGGGTGGGCTCTGAGATCTGAAAGACTTGGGTTTGAACCCTGTCTCTACCATTTAGTAGCTGCGGGACCTTCAGCACATCACTTAACTTCAGCTTCCTCATCTACGCAGTACTCCCCTCACAGAGTGATTGTGTAAATTAAATGCTATCATGTAGGTACAGGATGTAGTAAGCATTCAGTAAGTGGTGAGGAACATCATCATCGGTATTTTGTTTGCTTGCCTTACTATTCTGAAAACTCCTTGTAAAATTCATAAATTTCATACCAAGGAGAGCTATTCCCAATAAGGCAGAAGGCCTTCATTTAAAAAAAAAAAGGGTTAATTCTGTAGTGTACATTTGTAACAGAGTCAAAGAATGCATTTTCTGCCAGCTGTTTATGTGCGGACCTCTGCAAATGTCCCCAGTCATGCCTTCCCCACTTTCACCCTCCATTCACCCCCCACTGCTCACCCAGCAATGACCCACCACCAGCCAGCTGCTGAACACTCTGTGCTGCATCTTACCACTGTGCTTTTGTACGTGCTCTCTGCAGTCCCAGCCGTGGCAGGGAGCACTCCAAGAAGCCCATGCTCCTCTCAGCGAGCATCCTTGTGTACCCGGTGCAGATGTCCCCTCCCTGGATGAACGGCCGGACAGATGAGAAGGCAGACATGGAATGCGAGCAGCAACAGGTCCCTGGGGGCTGGGCTGGTTGCAGATGCATTCATTTAAATTTATTTCCAGCCTCTGGAAAAATATCTGGCACAATGTTTAATAAATGTACTTCCTCTGCCACAACACCCACCACATTTAATTACAATCAATTACTTAGTCGTGTGTCTTCTCCAGGAGACTAGAGGCTTTGCAAGGTAGAATTAGTGCCAGCCCTGTCCATGCCTGACTCTGCATGACCTGTTGCACATAGTAGGCCCTCGATAAATATTTGTTGAGTGAGTACATGAATGAAAAGGTTACCACACCGCAGTTGGGTAAAACCAATCTTGAGCTCAAGTTCTGTCATGTATTAATCTTGCTATGTTATGTGACCTTTAGCAAGTTTTATCTCAGAGCCACAGTTTCCTCATCTATAAAATGGGAAGCACCATGAAATAGAATTGAAAGCCCAGAAATAAAACCACACATCTATGGACAGCTAATCTTTGACAAAGGAGCTGAGGGCCTACAACGGAGAAAAGAAAGTCTCTTCAACAAATGGTGCTGGGGAAACTGGAAAGCCACATGTAAAAGAATGAAAATTGACCATTCTTTTTCACCATTCACAAAAATAAACTCACAATAGATCAAAGACCTAAAGATTGGACCTGAAACAATAAGTCCTCTAGAAGAGAATATAGGCAGTACACTCTTTGACATCAGTTTCAAAAGAATCTTTTCAGACACCATAACCCCTCAGACAAGGGAAACAATAGAAAGAATAAACAAATGGGACTTCATCAGACTAAAGAGCTTCTTCAAGGCAAGGGAAAACAGGTTTGAAACCAAAAAACAACCCACTAGTTGGGAAAAAATATTTACAATATTTATCTATCTGACAAAGGGTTAATCTCCATAATATATAAAGAACTCACACAGCTCAACAACAAAAAATCAAACAACCTGATCAAAAAATGGGCAGGGGACATGAACAGACATTTCTCTAAAGAAGATATACAGATGGCCAATAGACACATGAAAAGATGCTCATCATCACTAATCATCAGGGAAATGCAAATCAAAACCACACTAAGATATCACCTTACACCTGTTAGAATGGCAAAAATATCCAAAACAAAAAGTGACAAATGTTGGAGAGGTTGTGGGGAAAAAGGAACCCTCATACACTGTTGGTGTGAATGCAAACTGGTACAGCCACTATTGAAAACAGTATGGAGATTTCTCAAAAAATTAAAAATAGAAATACCTTATGACCCAGCCATCCCACTACTGGGTATCTATCCAAAGAACTTGAAATCAGCAATTCCAAAAGTCTCATGTACCCCTATGTTCATCACAGCATTATTTACAATAGCCAAGATGTGGAAGCAACCTAAGTGCCCATCAACTGATGATTGGATAAAGAAGATATGGTGTATATATATACCATGGAATACTACTCAGCCACAAAAAGGATAAAATCATCCTATTCACAACAACATGGATAGACCTTGAGAGAATTATGTTAAGTGAAATAAGCCAGATAGAGAAAGGCGAACTCTGTATGACTCCACTCATAGGTGGAAGTTAAACATGTAGACAAAGAGGACTGATTGGTGGTTACCAGGGGAAAGGCGGGGTGTGGGGAGGGCACAAAGGGTGAAGTGGTGCACCTACAGCATGACTAACAATAAGGTACAACTGAAATTTCACAAGGTTGTAAACTATCATAATCTTAATAAAAAGTTCCAGAAAAAAAAAAATGGGAAGCACCATACACATCCTCCCAGAGGACCAGGGTAGTTACCAAAGCAGGTCATGAACTGCAAAGTCCTTCACAAGAGCAATGCTGCTGGGTGGATTTGGAGCTGGGAGCGAGAAGTGTTGATAGAGGACGGCGGGAGAGATGTGGGCAAATGCTCTGCGCCTAAGCAGGATAGCGCAGAAGGCCCTGCCCTAACACGCCCTGCTTCTCCAGGGTGAGAAAGTCGGGGCTTCACTTCCGCCCCCAGGAAGGTATGTTTATGGGGCTGCTGTTCCTCTGAGCCCGTTCCCTGTTTACTGTGCAAAGTTCTCAGGGGCTCCCTGGACAGAGGTGGTGCATCTTACATCC